TGTAAGGCCTCTTGCTTTGAACAAGTATAGCAAGCGCCAGAAAGGTATTCCATCTTCACAGATCCTGAAAACTTTCTAGAAGGATCAGAACATTGAGAGAATCTGCCACAGGATATGTTCTAAATAGAAGATTACCCTGATTAAAACTGTAGTATATACCAAAAAAAAAATCATAGCTGAAGGTGCTCAATTACTGAAGCTTAAAAGTAATGTTTTTAGATTTGAAGCATAATCAGTCTTGAGGAACCCACTACCTTAATGCATAAAGAAACCTTAATGCAGATTTTGATGAGGTTCAATCATGAGTTGTGTTCACTTGTTCCTTTAAACTTTAAAACAAACAGATAGGGAGAAGCAAGTACTATTAGCCCAAGCTAGTTTGGTTCTGCAGTGGTGGTCTCATGGTGTAGAAGAGTTTTAGTGCTGCATTTGAAAAGGGCTCCTCAGGTTTTAACAGTAACAGGAAGAAAAATGTACTTGCTACATGTTTTAAATAGAATTATGAAGACATGCATACTTTTTATTTACACAGATGCTTTGTAACTGTTTTAGTTTTAATGACCTCAGATTGCATTACTTAGGGTCATATGTGTGATCTTAGACCAGCTAGCTCCATTGACAATCTGCAGGGGAAGAACGAACTTCCAGCACAACACACAAAACCAATGTATGCCAAGGCAAACAAAAGAAGACAGAATGACTATAATAGACTTGTGACAGGCCAAGTGCTCAAAACACCATAATTACAACACTTTTAATTATTATAATGGCAGTACAAAAGTTGACCATATGTTCATCATTGGTTCCATCTGTGTACAAGAAAGAATACATATTAATTTGTTTCTAGTGAAGGGAAAAGGGGCATAAAGAAACAACATGTTTAGAGAGTATGTAAAACCATCTGCGATTCTGAGAAACCCAGCTCCTGTTCTAAGAAGAAAGGGCATTTCCGAACCAATATTGAGATGCCTTTGTAAACAACAGCTCACATTCAAACAGCAGTAACATGCTGGGCCTCACCCACCACAGCGTTAGGAAAGACAAGCTGAAACACACACAGACGGGTAGATTGGCCCAGATACCCAACCCAGATGTAACCTCGCCTGGAGGCAGTGCTGGGGGAAGGCTGGAGGCCTCCCAAAACGGGCCTACCAAGGCCAACAATAGGTCAGATTACTGCCTAAAGCTGAGGATGCCTTTCTGCCTTGGGTAGAAGGTAATAAATAATTAATCAGTAATAAGACTGACAGGCAGATCATGACTATGCCCAGTGCCCTTCTTAAGAGGTTAGATCTCTTCATTCCAGCCTGGACTGAAAGGGGAAGCAAAGAAACACCCAAAATATGAACCTTAATGGTACAGGCCATGAGCAGAGCTCGGTTGCCAAGCTTCCTGCTTTTGTAGCCAGATAGTGACTAGAACAGAGTAAAACAAGATTTTTTTTTCACATATTCTTTTTTACGATAATAGAGAGGAAAACATGGCAACAGCTTTTGGCTAGGAGGTCTTATGAAATACTGAGTTCTTCTGCAGCTCCTTGGGTCGCCCTTTCTCTGCAGTGAATCACCACGGGTCATGCCAGCATTGAGCACATGTGGCCTGCTGAGTGGGCACTGAGCAGTGAACTAGGGGCTGGCCTGATCACTACCAGGACACATCGTGGCAGAAAGAACCTGTTGTGAGTTTGCAGGTCCTTCAAAGGGGATGTTGATGTTGCTGGGCAGAACGAGAGCGCCTGTTTACCTGAAGTGAAATATAGCAGAGTTCTCAAACACAAGAGCATTATGCACACGGCCACTGCAGCTGTGAGCCAAGGCTCCACAGTGTTACTTCTGGCCAGTAAACTGAGATGAAATGAGACTTTATCCTTACATTTTGCTAGGTTCCACTCTGACTTATCATATTAAAATACACAAAGTTACTGACCATAAATCAAAACAGTATACTTAAAATTCTTTGTTTTGGAAATCAAGGAAACATCCTTGCAAAAGAAAGTCAAGCCAGCAGGATGTTATCATTTCACATTCCCAGTGTTCTTCATTTGGCAGAACAAAATGACAAAAAATAGCCTTAAGACCATAACAATTATGTTCTGAGGCCTTTTATAATTTACCAGGTAGTCTGAAGCAGGATGGCATAGAGCACAGATTCATGGAAAAAAAAAAGGGGGGGCTGAAAGGCACCTCTGGGGTATCTCATGTAGCCCAGCTTCCAGAGCTTCAGAGCTGGGCTAGCTTCCATGCCTCAGTAGGTGCCTGGAGAAGTCAGCTTCCAAAAAGAACTGCCGCCTGCTTCTCAGCGAGTATTAGATCCACCTACCTGATGTTCAGGAACTTGTGTGGGCCCCTGGCAGATTATTAAGGCAGCTTTTCACCTGCTGAAAGTGAGTGCTCAAAGTTTCCTCCCGATATCTGAAGAATTCTGATCCCATCAGAGATTTTTGCCATGTGCACCAAGAACCTCTGAGAGACTCTAGGCCTGATCAGCAATTACAACTTCCCACATTTTGACAGTTCTGAGTGTGAGTGAGTTGCAAAGGAGCAAAGAAGAATCTGGTGCTGAAACTGTAGCAATGTCAGCACTGGTGAGATGCAGCACCTGGGTGCTACACTACAAGAAGCAGTGTAGCTTTTTCTAGGTCCCCTGCTCTGTCTCTAAATTTTCCATTAATTTTCAAGTCACTTATCAGGCAGGACATGTCAACACTGGGAAGTTAACACTGGCACAGAAGGACAGTGGTGGGTGTAGCTTTTTATATAGGATTGACTGGTTACCCTGTGAGTTGTGACTCATGCACAAGTGCTAGAAAGGCCTGAGAATACCAGACAAGAGGTAGAAGCAGCGCAGTGCTGTGCCCACGGACAATATGTACAATATGCAGTACAGAGGTACCTTCATATATAATGGGAAGATATACCTAGGGCAGCTTGCAAATGTTTACAGACCCAAAGTATGGATACCAGCTGTGCCTCTCAACCAGGTCTTCTCCTCCTAGGAATGCCCTGGGAAGCACTACAGCAGGGTAGGCAGGCAGTGTGGACTCAATTGATCTTTCATTTTTAAAAATAGAAAAAAAAACAGGGATAAAAAGGTTGTCACATTTGGTTAGCAAGTCTCCTTGGCTCCTTTTCCAGCTGTTGAAAAACTAGCTACCATTAATTAATGACAGTGAAATTTGGATGTATTTAGATTTTTTACAATGCACACAATTTCAGAAACACAAATCCCAATTCAAACTTTTTTCCAAATATAAGTGTTTCAGGTTTTCATAATGATGTTACCAAGGAGTCCTGATATTTATTAATTCATAATTGTACACACAAACTTGATCATTTTTGTTAGACAGGTATTGGCCAAAAACAGCCCATTTAACCTCTCCGGAGGCAGAAGACACAGCAAATCTCCTCCCAGGGTACTTCCAATCAGTTTGATGTGACTGCATCATTGCCAGCAACATCCAGGGAAGATGTATGTTCAACATATACATTCCAAGCTCGCTGTGCACCCGTGATTTCACCTGATCTGATTTGATCTGATTTGACCTGATCCGATTTGATCTGATTTGATGGGATTTGGCTCCCGGGTGCCGCAGGTGCCCCACCCACCCGCACGGCCAACGGCCGCTCCCGGCGCCCGCCCGCGGGGGGGGGGGCGC